CGGGCAATACTTTTACTTTAGTTTTGATGCAAAAGCGCATGATCGCACCGGCTCGCCTGGTGCGTTTCAGCCTTTGTTATAGTCTTTTATCACAATAGAAGACTTTCCTCATAAGCTGTAAATTTTGAGACAAAGAAACTCTACCACTATTACTCACTCGGGTCAAGGTAATGCATCTATTCAGTGTGCACCGGTAACAACTAGTCGTGTCTCCTGCGTGATCAATTCCTTTTTTTTTGCACTAAATTCCTTAATTAGTATGCATTTTCGTGGGTTTTTACAAATTATGCAAATGCAAAAACCAGATTTTGAATTTCCTACTCAACCCTTAACGGCTTGAGGTACTTTATTTGCCTGCACCTTGTTCTGTGCCTGAAAACGTGTTCGGTACCTTATTCGCATGAGGTGGTGGTGGGGGCTTCACTGTCCGTGGAGCTGGCTCCGGTATGGTTCTAGATTGTTGATCTTGTTCCTGGCTAGATATTTGTTGCAACCGCTGCGGTGGTTGTGGCGGCAAGAAGCGTTGATCGAATTCGAGTTTCTTCTGCCAATTATCTGAGACGACACGTTTCACATTCAGCAGCTGGCTCGGATCAAGCGGTGGTGGAAGTTTCTAAAAAATATCGACATAAGCTGACAAATAGGTAAAAATAAACTGTTTTTTGCTAAATACAATGCCCTAAGTTCCGTCAGCTCATTTTGACGCCCTCGGCCTCGAGTTTTCACGCCCTCTGCTTACACAAAGCAACTAAATGCAAGAATAAGCATTATGCTTAATTTGGACAAAATTTTTTCTCCTTCACGAATGAAGCTCATTGTCGAGCTGTTTAACAGATAGCACTTTTTGCTACTTCTACTGGGACACCCATCCAGAAAAAGCACGCAACAAGGCGGTCCCATATCGCCCAAGCTTTTTATGACTTGCCTCGAGATGCTGTCTTGCAAGTGTGATTAAAAAGGTGGTGTTGGACATCAACGGTGAGCAGCTAAACCACTTACGCTTTGCACACACACAATTGGCATTGCGAGCAGCTCATGCTGCATAAATGTAGTCTTGTAGGAACTTAATGAAAGTGGGCCTGTTAAGAAAGACACCGAAGCGGACATAGTCTTCCATTGATACAAAAACGTAATGAAATGATAAATGAACAAAACAGGATGAGCCGCAATTTCGTGAGCATCAGATTTTGCTAGAAACCCTTTTTTCAAGCTGAAATATTTCCACAGTAATTGTGTAGCTGGTCATTACAGTCGCCGACCTTTGCTCGTTCGTTAAGCATTTTCAGTGCTTCATTTTCCAGTTCGGCTGCATTTCTTGCAAAATTCTTGGAAGTAATTGGTAATCTTCCGGGTTGAGGATGCTCGGAGTTCATTCTTTCGCCAACAACTACTGCTGCATTTTTAGTTACTGCATTCCGTACAGCTCTATTGCCATAAAAATTCTGTAAGAAAATTGTTCTCAGTAAGATAAAAACAAAAATTATTTTAATTTCAGTCCTGAAATTTTTAGTTTAGGATTGCGAATTTTGACTAAAAAATTTTGATTTAAATAATGAAGCAATTTTACTTAAAAAATAGTTTTAATTTATATGGTAGCAATTAAAAAATTTGAGCTTAAAAAATTTCAAAAATTTTCACCGATGCAGCATCGCCAGTGTAGTGAACTGGTTCATTGTCGCTCCTACTACTAGACGGCTTTGTTTTCGTCCCTGGCCAGTTTGTCGCTGTTGTAGCAACTAAGAAAAAAAAATTTGTTAACTCAATTTTCATTTTTATTGCTTTTGGAACGGAAATAGCGT